CCCCGCACAAAAGTACGCTGCCCCACCCGTCGCCTCGCCGCTAGTCAGTTCATGCCATGCCACTTCCCGCTTCACCCTGCCCGCCACGTCGCTTCAGCCCCACTTAGGGCCCCGCCCGTCTCAACTTAGGGCCCCGCCCGTCTCAATTTTCCCTGACTGCACGTGACGGTCGACCCCGCGTCGGCCCGTCTGACCGGGTCGGGTCTCCCCCCACGGACTCGGCCTGTCCTACGCCGCCCCGCGATGTTGTGCTTCATCGGCCGCCAACAAACAACGCGATTCACTTCCCGGTGCCGGGCCTGACCCTCCCTCGGCCCTCAAGTGTCCCGCTCGGCCCGTGTGGTGCTGACCCGGTTTCTGCTAGGGCCCACATTGGGCCCTTTGCATGCATTAATAGTATAGAGAAGTGTTGGCTAACTGAGTGCGAGGGTATCAACTTTGTAATCAGCTCATAGATAGCAAGCAAAATCCTGAGCTCATAGATAGCAAGCAAAATCCTGAAAATCATATTATTGGTGCGCAGATTAACAACAAGAGTTAACTAGTTGAATGCAAGTGTATGAGCCTGGTAATAAACTTGGCTGAAATCTGGTTAATCTCTGGCTGGATTGGGTATCAGTAAGACTCCTCAACTGCTGATTTGTGCATCTGGAAGCGTGATACGCAAATTCTTCCCTTGAATAGGGTAGGATCTGACACGATCTATATATGGGACTAAGCCTATCATATTCAGTAATAACGCTTCAGACAATAGGATCATGTGTAGGGTAGGTCTATCAAAGTAGGGTTTAGTCGCTGGAAGCCCAGTGGAATACAGGAGTCGACAACTCTCCAGGTAAGGTTCATAACATTAGCAATACAAGTATGTAACCATCAAGAAGTACAAAGGATATCTGACTTTTACCTATGAGAGCAATCAATCGGGACTGTGTGTGAGAATATTAAGTAGGATCTGCACTGATCATACTTTCTCTTAACACTGGTCATCCAAACAGTGAGTGCAGATCATTGTCAGTTCACAAAACGTGCTTAGATAATGAGTGCAACTCCAAGCATGCACAAAGGGGTAGTCAGACAAAGGATTCAATATGAACCCACAACGAAATTCTTGTCAGACTACAAACAAGCTTGGGGCTGATTCATCTTCAGAAGAACATAAATTCAGTCCAATCAAGTCTGTCTATCAGCGGTGTTTGAGAAATAAATTCGCCCGGAACTTATCAAATTCTTCCTCAAGCACAAGTGATGTACAGGCAAGTCAAAGTTCAGCTAAGGAGGTGGTCATCAGTGACTACCAAGCTTGAAATACCACTATTTCATCTAAGGGTGGCTAACTGCCAAAACAATTGGTTTGGTAGAACCTTGCATGGTGGGTAGTTTATCTGGGGCGGATGCCTTATCTGGGGCGCTTACACAGTAATGTTAAAGGCAAATCTGGCTAGCCGTTCGACGTGTCACTATGGACAACTCTTCGACGAGAGGATCAGGCCCAATGTGGTTGATCACACAAGCACAATCAACAAACAAAATGTATTGGAATTTGACCCTGCTTTCATCGACAAGGGACTAAGTCAACAAGGTCCACTGCTGATTGCTTCAGGTTCCAGAGTGGTGGTGGCCTCGGGACAGGCAGTAATTGACGAAGTGATGCCCTGCACATCTGAGGCAGACACCAGCATCCTTCCTCTTTTATCATAGCTCATCTGGGATGCGCAAGTCTCTCCATGGGAGGGTGGAAGGATCCGTAGGGTTAGCTGGACATTTGACAAAATTAGGC